TATCAATGGTTAACATTTATTTAATGCTCACTACATGGCAGGCACTTTTCTTAATATTTTATGTCTGTTATGACTTCACTGAATACTTAAACGATTCTTTGAGCTGGATACTACTCCTAACCTAAATTAAAAGGTGAGAGAACTGAGATACACAGTGGTTAGATAAGCTGTCTATAGTCAACTTACTTAACTTAGGTAGAGCAGCCAGAAAGTCTTTCTGTCTTGGTGGTCAACACCCTAGACTACAGCATCTGGAGAAGATTCTGACTTGTCCACACATCTGCTCTGCCAGGACAAGCCTGCACCTAGAGATTATTCCTGAAGCTGCTCTGGCACCTGGAGGTATAGATTTTCTGGTCTCCAAGCTTTTGTGACCTGACTGTCAAAGGATGCTAATGGATTATGGAACTTTTCAGAGCACCTAAAGTAAGTTATTAATTACAGAGCACTGTTCAAAATGTTTTGCAACAAAGCCGAGCTCAGTGGTTCAGCCTGTAATCCCGCTTTGGGAGGCTGAGGTGAGTGGATTGCCTCGCCTGGGCAACTTGGCGAGACCTCATCACTACAATAAATCAAAAAATTAGCCAGGTGTGGTAGCGCGCCTGTAGTTCCAGCTATCTGGAAGGCTGAGGTGGAGGGATCGCCAGAGCCCAGCAGGTCAAGGCTGTGGTGGCCGGGAGCGGCCACTGCATTCCAGTCTGGGTGACAGAGTGAGACTCCAACTCAAAAAAAAAAAAAAAATTTTGCAACATATAATGTTCATTGGTTTGAACAAAGGTATATATCATTTAGTTTAGCTTATTTTGTTGTTGTTGTTGGTCTTACTCTGTTGCCCAGTCTGGAGTATGGTAGTGCCATCACGACTACTGCTGCCTCGACCTGCTCAGGCGATCCTTCCTCCTCAGTCTCCCAAGTAGTTGGGACTACAAACACATGTCACCATGCCTGGCTGATTTGTCAATTTATTGTAGAGATGAGGTCTCACCAGGTTGCCCAGAATGGTCTCAAATTCCTGGGCTCAGGCATTCCTCTTGCCTCAGCCCCCCAAAATGCTGGGCATTTAATAAGTGTTAATAGTATCTATGATGGGTTTGTATTGTGTCTTTGGGTACTTTGTGATCCCTGAGGACATGGAAAAATGGAAGTATTACATATGCTTTGCAGTTTCTTTGCAATCTTTCTTTCCACTGTCTTCCTGCACATTCCTGCTCTCTAGGGAGCCCCCTAGCATGTATTCAGCCTTTGGAGATCAGTTTGGGCCCATCAAGGTCTAGGGTAGAAAGAAAATAGAAACAAAGGAAAGCAAAATATGAGCCACGTATAGAAGCTGTAGATACTCTATCAGGTTATATGTGCTTTTTAATTTTGAGTCAGAAGTAGAGGAGGGCCATTGGCTGAGCTCGGCTGAACTTTTTAGGAGATATGTACAACTGTCCCTAACTTTTCTTTACCAAGAACCTGATTGATTAATCTCTCTGGACAGTTTGGAGGAGAGGGGGTTAACAAAGCAAACACTTTCTCTCCTTGAAGATCTCATTCCATAATGAAAGAAGGAAAAAACACCAATCAGACAGTGGTTTGTCCTTCGCAGCTGAAAATGATGACCATGGAATGATTAAATAGAACTGACTTTCCATAGTTTTCAGATTCCCTATAGGATCACATAGTGTTAGAGTGGGATAGATTAGAGATTTTCAAACTCAATTTCCTCACTTTGTATGAGGAAACTTAAGCCCAGAAAAATGTGTGTTAGAATCAAAGATGTGGCTTCTTGACTCTAGTTCCTCAAACTTTCCACTGCAAATGACTTTATTTCTTTGATAGTTTTCACTAAGATTTCTGGTTCTTTTAATTTCTTTTTCTTTTTCTTTTTTTGAGTTGGAGTCTCACTCTGTTGCCCAGACTGGAGTGCAGTGGCACGCTCCCGGTCACTGCAACCTCGACCTGCTGGGCTCCGGCGATCCTTCCGCCTCAGCCTTCCAAGTACCTGGAATGACAGGCGCGCACTACCACGCCTGGCTAATTTTTTGATGTATTGTAGAGATGAGGTCTCGCCAAGTTGCCCAGGCAGGTCTCGAACCCGTGGACTCAGGCAATCCACTCACCTCAGCCTCCCAAAGTGCGGGATTACAGGCTAAGCCACCGAGTCCGGCTAGTATTAATTTCAAGTTGTTCCCAGAGCACAGAATATTATCAGTATTGTGTTCAATAAATTCATAAAATGAGAGTTATGATCAAGTGATAAAGACATTCTTCTCCAGCATGCAGCCTACTCATGTAGCAAATCCTCACTTGTACTCCACAACTGTAAATTAATAAAAAAGACATCATTAAGTTACTAAGTAATTATCTTACTATATCATTGCAAACAAGATCCTCATTCTAGAATTTCCTTTTTTTTTGGCCTGTAAATATACACAAAAGTAAGCCGTCAAGTGATAGCCTTTTTTCTTTAAGGATCAATTTATCTGCCCCTAGGATAGCACAAAACATGTAGTAACTATAAGCTGAATAATGATAACCAGAAATACATATATACATACAAGTAGATGACATATATATTTTGTTTAGGCAGATTATCCTTATAATATTTATCAGTACACCTGGAGTCCTAGAGGCCTTCAAACATAAGCTAGTAATCAGCTGATGTGGATGACTAAATTTCAGATAAAAAGCTACCAAATGTCTGGTATTAGGCAATCTGGTATTTTAGTTTTTCCAGCCTGAGCAACAGAGTGAGACTCCACCTCAAAAAAAAAAAAAAAAAAAAAAAACCTAAAACAAAACAAACAAACAAAAATTTAAAACATCCTGGGGAGCCAGGCATGGTGGCTCATGCCTGTAATCCCAGTACTTTGGGAGGCTGAAGTGGAAGGACGGCTTGAGCCCAGGAGTTTGAGACAAGCCTAGACAACATAGGGAGCTCTCATCTCTACAAAAAATTTCAAAATTAGCCAGACACTCAGGAGGCTGAGGCAGGAGGATCACCTGAGTCTAGGAGGTTGAGGTTACAGTGAACCATGACGGTGCCGCTGCACTCCAGCCTGGGCAACAGAGTGAGACGCTGACTCAACAATTTAAAAAATGTTGGGGTTGCCGGGCTGGGTGGCCCAGCCTGTAATCCCGCACCTTTGGGAGGCTGAGGTGAGTGGATTGCCTGAGCCCGTGGGTTCGAGACCCACCCGGGCAACTTGGAGAGACCTCATCTCTACAATAAATAAAAAAATCAGCCTGGCGTGGTAGCGCGCGCCTGTAGTTCCAGCTACTTGGAAGGCTGAGGCGGAAGGATCGTCGGAGCCCAGCAGGACAAGGTTGTGGTGGCCGGGAGCGGCCACTGCACTCCAGTCTGGGAGACAGAGTGAGACTCCAACTCCAAAAAAAAAAAAAAAATGTTGGGACAATGGGCCTGTTCTTTAGTGTGTGCTGAGTGGCAACATGGATGTGTGCATAGGTAAAATTTACTGAGCTGAACACTTTAGATTTGTGCATTTTAAAATCTGCATATAGGCCGGGCTCAGTGGCTCAGTCTGTAATCCCAGCACTTTGGGAGGCCAAGGCGAGTGGATTGCCTGAAGCCGCAAGTTCGAGACCAGCATGGGCAACTGGGCGAGACTTCATCTCTACAATAAATAAAAAACTAGCTGGATGTGGTAGTGTGCGCCTGTAGTTCTGGCTGTTTGGAAGGCTGAGGTGGAAGGATCACCGGAGCCCAGCAGGTCGAGGCTGCAGTGGCCGCTCCTGGGCGACAGAGTGAACTAAAAAAAACCCCAATAATAAAAACAAACAAAAAAACTGCATATAAATTATACCTCAAGATAAGACTAAAAAATTATACAAAACCAATCACGAAGGACTGAAAGCAAACATACAAATCTGTATATACACAATTGGTCTTTTAATCATTATCATTTCATATTTGCTATATCTTACGCTGGCATGAAACACTCCTTCCTCTTGTGTTTATCTTTCAGTAAACCAAGTTAACTATCATTTAACCTATTATCCTTTTGTAAGGCGAGAAAGCCTTAATTTATTCGTTTGCAAGTAAGCTGGTATAGTAACAAGGTCTAGAATTTTACATAATAGCACATGAGTCGGTCTCTAGAGGGCAGGGACATACCGGACATTTTCTTTCATTTCCCCTGACATCTTTACGGGGTTCTTCAGGCAACGGTATTCAGATAGCAAATGAGTCTCGAACTAAATAACTTTCCCTAAGATGCTAGGATTCTATTTTCCACCCCGCAGAGTCTCAAAATCCACTTTTTCTCCCTGGATGTCTATTCTGATTTGGATATACCATTAAAATAACGTGCTTTTATATTTTCATCTCCCTGCGTTATAACCCCCCCATTCTCTGACGTTTAGTTCACTTTCCTTTTTTTTTTTTTTTTTTTGAGTTGGAGTCTCACTCTGTCACCCAGACTGGAGTGCAGTGGCCGCTCCCGGCCACCGCAGCCTCGACCTGCTGGGCTCCGGCGATCCTTCCGCCTCAGCCTTCCGAGTAGCCGGAATTACAGGCATGCGCTACCACACCCGGCTGATTTTTTGATTTTTTCTGTAGAGATGAGGTCTCGCTGCCCAGGCGGGTCTCGAACCGGGCTCAGGCAATCCACTCACCTCAGCCTCCCAAAGGTGCGGGATTACAGGCTGAGCCACCGAGCCCGGCTCGTTTAGTTCACTTTCAATGAAAGTCCTACCGCCGGCCGAATTTGGTCTCTGCGACAGGTATGAGATCTACAGTTAGAAAGAAAAAAAAATCCTGCAAAAGATCTGGAAATGGGGTTAAAAAAATACTACAACTCCCAGAATGCAGCGCTTGACCTCTCTCCCACCCTCCCTTTCTGCCTACCCAATGATCAGGATGCGCGAGCCTTTTCTCGGTTCCTATTGGTCAGTTCTTCCCTCAGCGAGGGCGGAAGAGGACGGGGAGAAGAGGCAGAGGATCCCGGATGGCACATTTCCCGCCACCGTGAAGTGCCGAGCGGAAACCCGAAGAAGAAGAAACTCTCGATTGGATACTCGCTATCCTGGCGTCAGAGGAGTCAGCCAATCATAATGTGCATATGCCCCCAGCGTCCCCGCCTCTTCCTCGAGGTATCCTTTGGTGGCGGGAAAAGTTCGGAAGCTTTCGTGCCCGGGCGGAGTCATCGTGGGGTCCTCCGCGCTACTTTTGGGGAGGCAGTTCTGAGGTCGCGGGCATGGCGGGGACCGTGGTGCTCGACGACGTGGAGCTGCGGGAGGCCCAGAGAGATTACCTAGACTTCTTGGACGATGAGGTGAGGCAGGGCTGGGGCGCACTGTAGCACTTGGAGTCTGTGTGCTGACCGGCCGGAGGAGGCCGCGCGGGTCGCCGCTCCTGGCCGGGACCGACAGGCCCGCCCGCCTGTGTGCAGGACTGGAATCCCCACGCCCATCTCGCAACTTTTCTCGCGGTGGAGGAGTCGCTGGTTTGTGAACTCTTAGAGAGCGACCCTGTGACTTTCTCCTAAGCACAGGGGCGGCTCTGTCGCGCGAAAGGCGACAGGTGCCACCAAGCGCAAACAAAATGGCAAATCCCACCTCGGCCTTCCCACTTCACGCCTGGCTCTTTCTCATTTTGGGGGGAGGGACCGCCGTAGGGCCATAGTGACCCGCCGCGTTGTGGTGTGCGCGATTTTAGTGACTGACTTCCCACCAGGGGGAAGAAACTTCCTCATTTGGCCGCATTCATTTTCGGTACCAAATGAGATGCACATACTAAGTGTTCTGTGTGCCACCCAAGACTTAAAATAGAATGTTGATAAAAGCATCGTGAAGGGTTGATGATGTAAACGAATAGCTAAAGCTTCCTCCCCTCTTTAGGTCCGCATATGAGAACCCTTTCTCTATTGCACAGATGATTGGGGAAAATATATTTTAATAATGTACACTGTACATTATTTTTAAGTGTAAAGCCATTTTAATGCAGTTTCTTAAGAGTGCTTAATTTGCATTTTTCGCGTGTACAACATGTGCAACATTTTTAAGGTGTACAACATGTTTTGATGTACACGGTGGAATGATTACTACAGTCAAGCAAATTAACGTACTCATTCACATTGTTACCTTTTTATGTTTACATTTAAACGAGGTTTTTACTTAGTCCTTTTAGACTTCTTATGAGCCCATTTTAATTCCCCACTAAAAGTTGAGAAATGACAGCATACAGTAGAGCTGTTCGTGATAGTGAGAATAGTAGAATGGACCTTGAGAAAGTTATAATTCTTAAGTCTCCGCCTAGGGTATATTTGGAGTATGAGGATAGTGAATGAAAGGGGGAAATTGATGAACCCATACCTGGGCAAATGTGCTGCAGAGATTGGCTTATTTATCTTGCTGTGACAACTGCTTCTGTTTAGAAACATTTTAAGTTTGTGGCTATTGATGACTGTTTTGCAGGAAGACCAGGGAGTTTATCAGAGCAAAGTTCGGGAGCTGATCAGTGACAACCAATATCGGCTGATTATCAATGTGAATGACCTGCGCAGGAAAAATGAGAAGAGGGCAAACCGGTGAGTGACAAGCATTTCCCAGGCATATCTGGGTCTGAGCAGGAATAACTCCACTCCCTCCTGCCTGGATTGGAACAGTCTTTCCATAAGAGGATCTGGATGAAATGGGATTGACCTAGAAAGCCATCATGGCTCACCTGCACCAGTGTGTTTTTCTTTCCAAAAGTTGGTGGGCATTATTCTCTCAAGTGCCCCTTCTCCCAGTATTTAGCTGAATATGTTTATGATTTTAAATTTCTGATGAGTTGGATTAAAGTTGATGTAGGAACTGGATTTTCACTCCTTGCCCTTAATGATCTAAGAATGTCTACTTATGTTTTGAGGGTCTGCGTTTTTTTAGTTCTGCTCTGGATGCCTAATGAGTCTTCCTTTTGCCCACATACAGTCTCCTGAACAATGCCTTTGAGGAGCTGGTTGCTTTCCAGCGTGCTTTGAAGGATTTTGTGGCCTCCATTGATGCTACCTATGCCAAGCAGTATGAGGAGTTCTACATAGGATTGGAAGGCAGCTTTGGCTCCAAGCACGTCTCCCCCCGAACTCTGACCTCCTGCTTCCTCAGCTGTGTGGTCTGTGTGGAGGGCATTGTCACTAAATGTGAGTGGGTTAAAGAGGGCACTAAGGAAATGGTGGTAGGATAGACTTAGGGAGATTAGGTAGCTTGTGGCTTCAGAGAGGTAGAGCATTTAAATTATGTGGTAGAATTCAGAGGAACTCGGGGTGTGCATAATGATAGGGGTACCTTGAATGACCACTTGTGTTAGCAGAATGATGAATTCTTTTTTCTTTTGAGTTGGAGTCTCACTGTCACCCAGACTGGAGTGCAGTGGCCGCTCCTGGCCACCGCAGCCTCGACCTGCTGGGCTCCGGCGATCCTTCCGCCTCAGCCTTCCAAGTAGCTCAGCCTTCCAAGTAGTAACTACAGGCGTGTGCTACCATGCCTGGCTCATTTTGATTTATTGTAGAGATGAGGTCTCGCCAAGTTGCCCAGGCGGATCTCGAACCCACGGGCTCAGGCAATCCACTCACCTCAGCCTCCCGAAGCTCAGGATTACAGGCTGAGCCACCGAGCCCGGCTAGAATGATGAATTCTATGGAAAGCCAGAGTCTTGGCTCTGTCAGTCTCCACGTTCCAACTCTGAACTACTGTTTCTTAGTTGGGATCAGTCGTACTTATAATTTTAATGGATATGGTGGTGTTCTGTATATAAATATAAAAATGAATAAAAAACAGATAATATTGAAATAGCTTAACCTAGTCAGAAGAACACAGTATTTGAAGTCATTATAGGCGTACATGGGTTAGGTCCCACCGCTATCACTGTCTAGTTAGATGACTTTATATGCATGTTTTCCATTCTTAGGCTCTCTAGTTCGTCCCAAAGTCATCCGCAGTGTCCACTACTGTCCCGCTACCAAGAAAACCATCGAGCGACATTATTCTGATCTCACTACCCTGGTGGCCTTTCCATCCAGCTCTGTCTACCCCACCAAGGTGAAGGGGATGAATTGATTGGGCCTTCTTGGGCATTGGAGTCAAAGATACGGTTTTAATGTAAGGTATTGTGTAATAGCTGAAGTTTTTTGTAAGTAGAGAGATTGAAAAGTAAGGACTAATCTGACAACAAGATTGATTGCTGGCTAGAGTTTTACTGTGGAAAGTCCACAATCCACATTTTATTTATTTATTGATAAAGATGAGGTCTCACTATGTTACCCAGACTGGTATGCGGTGGCTGTTCACAGGTGTGATCAGGGGGCTCTACAGCCTTGAACTCCTGGGCTGAATTGATTCTCCTACCTCAGTCTCTCTACTAGCTAGGTGCGTACTATAGTACCTGGCTTCACAATTCTCATTTTTTATTTTTTTGAGTTGGAGTCTGTCATCCAGGCTGGAGGGCAGTGGCATGCTCCTGGCCACCGCAAACTCAGCCTACTGGGCTCCTGCGATCCTTCTGCCTCAGCCTTCCAAGTAGCTGGAACTACAGGCACGTGCTACCCATGCCTGGCTAGTTTTTATTTTTGATTTATTGTAGAGACTAGTTCTTGCCAAGTTGCCCGGGTGCGTCTCGAACCCACGGGCTCAGGCAGTCCTCTCCCCTCAGCCTCCCAAAGTGCTGGGATTATAGGCTAAGCCACCGAGCCTGGCAATTCACATTTTTAAAAGCTGGGCCACAGTAATCAGCAGCAGAGTACTCCCTGAGTACTTCAGTAAATGTAATCTGCTTGAAAAAGTGATGTAGAATGTAATCTTTGCAATTTCATCATGTATTTGAGAGCAGGCTGGCATAAGAAAGTGCTTTTTTTATTCTTAGTGTTTAGATTGCTCTGGATTGAGGACAGTGCAAGGCTTTTTGATAAGACAAAAGATCAATAATATGGATTACTTGGTGTCTGAACTCATTCTATCAAAGAGTACCTTTCCTCCCCCTTCAAATTTTAATTGAGAGCAACTGTATCCAAGGCATCGTTAGGCATTCTGGAGGACACAGATATGTAAATAAGACACAGTCCTTGTCATCAGTCTAAAGACTGATGGAAAAAACAAACATAAACAGCTAAAATGAGAATGAACATCTTAGAATTATGACTAAAACATAGTATAGAATCATTGAGTCCACGTGAAGTACTGAGGTTCAGAGGTTAAATGATTTGCTTATGGTCCTATTCATGATGGCCTTAAGGACTAGGACCCATGTCTCTTTTGTTTAGGCCAGTTGTATTTTCTAAGTCATCTTTATTAAGGTCTCTACTTTCTGAAATTTCTTCTTCAGAAGTACCCAGGGAGTACTCTTTTGCTGATTACTGTGGCCCAACTTCTTTGCTTAGAAAGTGAAATGAATGGGACCTGGCCTTGTGGAAGATGTCTGGTGTAGAGCTTAAGCACATAGGCTTTGAGGTTATACCGTTAGTCAAGTCTGTACTCTATTTGCTTTGCGACCTTGGGGACTTATTTAATCTCTCCTAGTTTCAGTTTCCTTGTCCATAAAGTGTAAAAGATACTTTGTTTTGCAAAGGCATTGTGATAATTTCATGAGATAATTTCATAAAATAATAGCCCAGTGCCTGGCACATAGCCGGCACTCAGTAAGTGATAGCTTTTGTGTTTTTAGGAAATTCAGATATCTAAGAAGTAAAACTTTAGACTTGTTTTTATTGAAGTTTAATATACATATAGCAATGCTCACTTAAGTGTATAACTTGATGAATTTTTACAAAGTGAATATAGTATAATCAGCGTTCAAGCCAAGAAACAAGACCGTATTAGGAAGTCCTTCTTGAGGACTCATGTTATTCAGGGGTAACCACTATTCTGATGACTAACAGCATATATTATTTTGCTTGTTTTTCTATTTAATTTTTTTTTTTTTGAGTTGGAGTCTCACTCTGTCACTCAGACTGGAGTGCAGTGGCTGCTCCCGGCCACCGCAGCCTTGACCTTCTGCCTCAGCCTTCCAAGTAACTGGAACTACAGGCGCACGCTACCACGCCTGGCTGATTTTTTGATTTATTGTAGAGATGAGATCTTGCCAAGTTGCCTAGGTGGGTCTCGAACCCGCATGCTCAGGCAATCCACTCACCTCAGCCTCCCAAAGGCGCAGGATTACAGGCTGAGCCACCGAGCCTGGCTTTTTCTATTTAATTTAAATACTCCTTTGTATTGGGCTTCTTTGCTCAACATAGTATTTATGCAATTAACCTGTATTGTATATAGGTGTGCTTTATACATTTTTATTGCTACTTAGTATTCATCTGTGTTAATATGCCACATTTATTTAACCATTATACTATTGGTGGTATTTAGATGCTTTCTAATTTTTGACTATTAGGAATAGTGTTGCTGTGAGCCTTACAGGCATGGCTTTGCGTAAGTTTCTGTTGGGTATTACCTAGGAATAGGCAGATTGCTTCAGAGCGTAAGCATATATTTAGCTCTAATAGGGAAAATAAGAATCTTAATTTCAATGTTAATGTAGCCATGCCCCTTCAGACTCTGGGCTGCCCCTTCCATTAGAGGTTTTGTTATTAGAACAGAGATGGTGATGGAAAAAGCTGGAGAAGATACTTGGCTTTTTTTGTTCCTGGATCCTTACATTTCTTGAAATCATCTTATTCGTTTCCCACGATGAGTGAGAGTGTCATTTTAAAGACAAGACTGAGATAACTCCTGTTCTGTGTGCCTTTTTTCAGGATGAGGAGAACAATCCCCTTGAGACAGAATATGGCCTTTCTGTCTATAAGGACCACCAGACCATCACCATCCAGGAGATGCCAGAGAAGGCTCCTGCTGGCCAGCTTCCCCGCTCTGTGGATGTCATTCTTGATGATGACTTGGTGGACAAAGCGAAGCCTGGTGACCGAGTCCAGGTAGTGGGGACCTACCGTTGCCTTCCTGGAAAGAAGGGAGGCTACACCTCAGGGACCTTCAGGTAAAGTGACTCCCATAAAGTGTTTGGCATGCTGTTGGTAGCTTTTTATTTCTGGTAGCCTCCTTTCTCCAATTTGCCATACTCCAGAGTTATATCTGATAGGTGGAGTACTCTCCCTGCCTGGAAGTGGATAGAATACCTCCAGTACCCTTTTTCTCTTAGATGAAACTGGTAACACTTATCATCTCATGCCCAAAGAGGGAGTTATTAGTGACATGATTACAGCTTCATGGCTTATATGGGAGTTTCTCACCTTTTCTTATCCTTTTTCTGTACATACTTCTCTCTGAAACTCTGTGGGTCAGCAGGAAGTGAATAAATTCCAGAGGCGGGACATGATCAGCATATTTGGGTCGTGGACAGAGAGAATTTGTTTAATTCAGAACTGCTACCCACTTCAGTTTGCTGGTTTAGTCTTGTAACCTAGAAAGACTTACTGCTGCTGGACTAGCTGTTGATGTTAAGAAATGAATGGAATAGGTGACCTCTTATTCTCCTGACACAGGACTGTCCTGATTGCCTGTAACGTGAAGCAGATGAGCAAGGACGCTCAGCCTTCATTCTCCGCTGAGGATATAGCAAAGATCAAGAAGTTCAGCAAAACCCGTTCCAAGGTCTGGGCATCTTTTAGAGATTTGAGGGTGGAATTGGATTTGCAGGAGTTATATTTTGGTGTGTTGCGATCTTTGCTGGATCAACAGGAAGGGTCAGGGTTTTTTTCTCTAAGGCACTTGGTGCTAGTTTCTTCCAGGTTTGTCCCAATCAACAAATGATAGGGTGTTTTGCTGTTTGTTTAATTATAATTCTGTTGTGATACCTGCTGGGCTGCTCAGTGAGCCGAATACAAATACTAGGATAGGAGTTAAATTATCAGTATACTGATACATTTGTTTATTACTGAAGACATTAGTGACACATTACTTAAACCTAAAAGGTTAATTTTGTTTTCATTGTCCAGTTTGTTTTTTCTGTTATTCTTTCGAAAGACAGAATGTCCACATTTAGAGTTGAGCTCCATGTATGAATGTGTGATGAAGGTTCCTGCTGAAACACATACTAAAACCTAAAATTAAACCTAAAATGCTTTGAACCTGAGGATACTCTTTTTTTCTCTAAAGATTAATTAAACCTCTAAACAAGTTTTGGAATCCAGGCTGCCTTTGTGCCTACTCTGATAATGGCCTGACAGTGTGATTTGCCTTAGAGTGTTTCACAATTAGGAACAATGGCTATATTTCTATATTTCTTCAAGCATTTTCTATAGCACAAAATACAAAGCGAAGCTCTGTGAAACTCCATTGAATCTTACTAGCTTTTCTCTTCGTTGGTTATTTCTCCTGTAGGATATCTTTGACCAGCTGGCCAAGTCATTGGCCCCTAGTATCCATGGACATGACTATGTCAAGAAAGCAATCCTCTGCTTGCTCTTGGGAGGAGTGGAACGAGAACTAGAGAATGGCAGCCACATCCGTGGAGACATCAATATTCTTCTAATAGGTATGGCAGTGGGGATTTGCTTTAGACTCTTATTCTGACCTTATGGTGTGTGGTTGTGGGACCTGTAATATGTAAGATTGGGTATTCTGTTTCTGGCAGTATCTGGCAGTATTGCAGTTTCATTAAAGGACAAAAGGCTAAATAAAATGGAAATTCCTAAATTATTCATATAATGTTTAAAATGTATTCTTCCATGAATGGTAAAGGGAAAAGTGAAGGAAATATTATTGACAACCAATTATTATCTATCTCTGTTGAGCCAAGAACTGTGCTAGAAGAGTAGAGCTTGCTTGGGGGTGTGGGGAGTTCCCTAGAATCATCACCATCCCATCCTACAGGTGACCCGTCAGTTGCCAAGTCTCAGCTGCTGCGGTATGTGCTTTGCACTGCACCCCGAGCTATCCCCACCACTGGTCGGGGCTCCTCTGGAGTGGGTCTGACGGCTGCTGTCACCACCGACCAGGAAACAGGTAAAGGTGTCCTTGGCAAAAGCCCAGCAGTGTGATTGAGCATAGATCTTTTAGCTTACTCTAGGCATTGGCTTGTGTTCTTAAGATACAGTAGAAGTTAGTTGGATCCAGATTGTAGAGGACTGAGCATTTGGCACTAGTGGGTGTATTATTTAAGTCTTTGGGTGTCCTTGAATTTATACGAATGTTTGCTAGGTGACTTGAAAGAATTTCAAAGGAGAAAACTTAGCACATTGGAAGGGAAATGCAGATGAAGATTGTATTACTTTGAACTGGAGTAAGGGATTTGAAGACTGGTGAAAAGATAGCAGGGGTCTAGTTGGGCTGTCACTTGAAGGTGAGGATGAATAGAGAATCTGTAAAGAAGTTTATGAGAAGCTAGCTGCTTAGGGGTCAAAGTGGTACAGGATATTGTTCAGGTTTGAGCTGAAAAGGTGACCCAGTAAGGTTTCCTCCAAGTTTCTTGACACTGACACCTCTTTACTGCATTCTAATGTGCTACAGTAAGAGGTTCCTGGGAAGAAGATCAAAATCCCTCTCCTCTATCTTCTGTAACGCCTACTGTAGCACATATTTGTGTCTCCTCACTTCCCAGGGGAGCGCCGTCTGGAAGCGGGGGCCATGGTTCTGGCTGACCGAGGTGTGGTTTGCATTGATGAATTTGACAAGATGTCTGATATGGATCGCACAGCCATCCACGAGGTGATGGAGCAGGGTCGAGTGACTATCGCCAAGGCTGGCATCCATGCTCGACTGAATGCCCGCTGCAGTGTGTTGGCAGCTGCTAACCCCGTTTATGGCAGGGTGAGTGGAATCAGGCCTTTAACGGATGTTCTCATCTTCATCTGGTTTTGCTGAATGACTGGACTGAGATGTTTATTCTAGGTGACCCAGAAGAACAACAAGCCAAAGATGAAAGTACGCTTATCATCTTATTGCTGTCCTTGGTGTAGAGCAGTCGTTCCTCACTGGCAGGAGAATTTCTAAACCAAACAGATAGTAGACTTTCTTTCTGCTCCTGTCCTTTTCCCAGGAGATAACAGCTTTGGAATGTTTCAGGAAACAAAAATGTAAGCATTTATCAGCAAGTACAGTATCACCTTGTTAAGAATTATCTCTCTCTCTTTTTTTTTTTTTTTTGAGTCGGGGTCTCATTCTTTTGTCCAGGCTGGAATACAGTGACACCATCATGGATCACTGCAGCCTCGACCTCCTGGGCTTAGGCGATTCTTTTGCCTTAGCCTCCTGAGTAGCTGGGACTACAGACGCATGCTACTATGCTCACCTAATTTTTTTCATTTTTTTGTAGAAACAAGGTCTTGCTCTGTTGCTCAGGTTGTCTTAAACTCCTGGGCTTGAGCAATCCTCCTGCTTTGGTCTCCCAAAGGAGTAAGCCATGGCGCCCAGCCAAAAATTATCTCTTTATCCTTGTTTTTAGCATGACCATGGTGTGCCTAGGTGTAATATTTTATGCTTATTTCTGCTTGGGATTTGCTGAATTTTGCCTTTTTAAAAATAGCTTTCTAGTATTCCATTGTATGGATTTATTTAACTAGTCTCCATTTGACTGACATTTAGTGGTTTCCCTTTTTCTTCCCTATTATGAATGAAGCTTCAATAAACATCCCTTCGTGTGTATTTTGTTACACATTTGGGACTGTATCTATAGCGTAAGTATCTACTAATGGAATTACTAGATTAAGAGTTATGTGTGTTTTTATTTTGGTAGAGATTACAAAATTGCCCTCTTTAAAGATTGTATCATACTTTCCTTAACTAAGGCTTATAGGTGCTTTATATCCATCACCTCAGTTCTCTCAGTAACTACCTCACCACATGAGTAGATGGGTTCTTATTTTATTTTATTTTATTATTATTATTTTTTGAGTTGGAATCTCACTCTGTCGCCTAGACTGGAGTGCAGTGGCCGCTCCTGGCCAACGCAGCCTCGACCTGCTGGGCTTCTGTCTCAAACTTCTAAGTAGCTGGAACTACAGGCACGCTGGCAGCTACCACACCTGGCGAATTTTTTGATTTATTGTAGAGATGAGCTCTCATCAAGTTGCCCAGGTGGGTCTTGAACCCGCGGGCTCAGGCAGTCGCGGGATTACAGGCTGAGCCACTGAGCCTGGCTGAGTTCTTATGTTACAGATGAGAAAATGGAGGTACAAAAGGTTATGTAACTTTCTTAAGAGCCACAGACTAGAAAACGGCAGAGCCAGGAGCTGAACCCAGAGCCCATGCTGTGCTTTGGGGGTGTGTACCAGTGTATGGATGTTTTTTTAAATGAACAGAAGCATGGCCCCAAGCCCAGAGTTTCTGAATTCAGATCTCTGACTTGGGGCTCTTTGTAGCAATAGTTTAGAAAGGCTCCACAGGTTGGTTTTAATGTGTAGCCTTGGTTGAAAACCGTAGGTTTTAAAATTAATGATAATGTATGTTTGTATCATTCTGAAAAGTGATTAAGAAAGTGACAGGACTGAAATGTGAACATGGTCAAAAATCATTATTACCTACAAGGTTGTTGTGCTGTCTTCCTGAAAAGTGTATGTGGGTGGGTAGGTGTCATCCCAGTCAGCTCAGCATTGAAAGATGAGAGTGCAGGCATTCTTGATTCCCAAGGAAAAACTCCCTTGATTCCTAAGACATCATGATTTATAGAGCATTGATCATTTCAGTTGAGAATTTACTTATTACCTTCTGAGTAAGGGGCTCCAAAGTTCCAAGTGCTTTTATCCTAACCGGCACCTTGTCTTTATGCAGGAGAGAGAGACCATCATTTAGAGTTGATCCTACCTTGGGAAGAGGAGCAGAATCAAGCTTGGGAAGGAGGGACTAGTTTTGAGACCCACTCAGGCTGTTAGAGGTTCTTATACTAGGAAGTGGGGCTTGAGTTAGCTCCTATCGCCTGAGTTTTATTTGGAGAAAGGTTGCAGGTAGAAGAGATGATTTGTGTCTTAATAACTTTAAAATACTGTTTCACTGCTTCTTGTCTGTTTCGTTCTTTAAGGTCAAACCTTCCATTCCCACCCAGAATGGATCCAGCCTTCTTGTCCTTTCTTCTGTTAATGTCTTGTCCACTGCCTTTTTTCTTGCATTCCCCAGTATGATCAGTACAAGAACCCAATGGAGAACATTGGGCTACAAGACTCGCTGCTGTCCCGGTTTGACTTGCTCTTCATTATGCTGGACCAGATGGATCCTGAGCAGGATCGGGAGATCTCAGACCATGTCCTTAGAATGCATCGTTACAGAGCACCTGGAGAACAGGATGGCGATGGTGAGGCCATGGGAGAGCTAAAGGGACTAGTGAAAGGGAGCCTGAACTGATGGTGTTATCTCAGGTCTAGCCCAGGTGGTGGTGGGCATTGCAGTGTCTGGTTTATGTTGATGATGCCCTCAGCTGCCCAGCTACCTGTCCTCCTTGCTCACTGGAGATTATCCTAACATGTATCTTTTGCCTATTTCTGGGTCTGGGAATAACTTAGAGCATTTCCTTTGGGCCAGACAGTTCTACCATGTATTTGTGGTTTCAAGTGTCTGATTTTTTTGGGGGGGGGGGGGGCGGGTCCTTTCTTTGTGAATCTTGACCTCTTCCTTTTCTGAAATCACCTGTAACTTGCTATAGAAGAAGCAGTTTTCCCTGGGTTAAACTCTTCATTACTCTCTTTTCTCCCAATTTGGATATACCAGCTATGCCTTTGGGTAGTACTGTGGATATCCTGGCTACAGATGATCCCAACTTTACCCAGGAGGACCAGCAGGACCTCCAGATTTATGAGAAGCATGACAACCTTCTGCATGGGACCAGAAAGAAAAAGTGAGCATCCTCATACCTGTCATTTGGGAGGGACACAAGAAACCAGAATTATCTTTTGGCAGGCAGGCCCTTTTTATTACAGGCTTCCCCACTAGGTAAGTGTTCTAGAAACCCATTGGCATTAGTATACTAGCCGGCATTGTTGTGAAAGGCTGTGTCGTACAAGAAACGTCCCAAGTTGTGGCAAATAGGTGACTGGTTTTTCCACCATGACAATGCACTTGCCCATAATGCACTGAGTAGTCAACAGTTTTGACCAAAAATGGCATAACCCTATGCTGAACCCTCCCTATTCACATAATCTCACCCAGGGCAACTTTTTTTGTTTCCCTGGGTGAAAGAAGTCCTCAAAGGGAAACATTTTGCCAATGTGGAAGAGGAAAAGGAAGAGGTAAAATAAAAAATGGCCAAAGCACTAGAAAGCATAAAAATGGATGTGTTCAGAAACCATTTTGAGCAGTGGAAAAAGCATCTCAATAGGTATATTGCATCAAATGGAGAGTACTTTGAAGGTGACTGAAGTTAAACTTGTAGGAGTGAATATACAAATTTTTATAAATAAATTCCGAGTTTTTTTGGATGTCCCCCCATGTATATAACTGAGCTTATTAGTTAATAACATTATGTTTTTAGCTTATTAGTTAATATTATGTTCTTAGGCCATGAGTCATAACTGTGTGGACTGATTTTCCTCCTTTCTGGGTCTCCAGATATACTTTTACCCTGGCCAGTTGCCTTGTATGCTTTTGGGTGATTCAGCACAAGTTCAGATCTTTTAGAATGGAAGGTCTTGAGACATGTCTAACTGGTGGTGGATATGTGATATCTTCCTTATACTTGAGAGATTGTATATGTCATGTAGCCATTTGTGGTGAAGGGTTGGTAGACAGCAAGCTCTGGAGACGTGGCAGGTAGATTCGGGTGAAGGAGACCTGTCATTAGATGCTCGGTCTAGTAGGGTTCTACACCTTTGCCCATGATGCGGTAAGAAGCATAGCATAATCTTCAAAGCTATTGGCTTAAGAGTGCAGAGTTTAGAGTCAGAAAACTGAATTTGAGTCTGCTTTAACTTCTCTGAGCCACCTATACAACGTGTAGAATACAATAGCTATGCGTCTTGTCTCATCTATACAATAGGGCAAATAATACCTAAATTTCCTACCTAAACTACCTAACTCCCAAACAATACCTCAAATAATGAAATAAAAATCTGTGAAAAGGTTCTTGTAAATGTTCCATATAAATGAGTTATTATAACAGATTCTAGGCCCTGTCTATTCTCCATTTGACCTTGACCTTTCTGAGGCAAAGCTACTAACCTAGGCAGGGAATAAGGAGTGGCAGTTAAATGGAATTCACTATGTATGACTCCAGGGAGAAGATGGTGAGTGCCGCGTTCATGAAGAAGTACATTCATGTGGCCAAAATCATCAAGCCTGTCCTGACACAGGAGTCAGCTGCCTACATTGCAGAGGAGTACTCACGCCTGCGCAGCCAGGATAGCATGAGCTCAGACACTGCAAGGGTGAGTGTTGGGGGGAGTATGGACTTGGGGCTGTGGCTGGAGTCCTGCTATCTGGGAGCTCTGAAAATGTTTTAACTTTGTGATTCCTTCCTGGTCTGAAGGGCTTACTGTTAATCATTTCCTTTTAAAAGGAAAGTGAAATAAGGACTCCAGAGGTAACATGATATCTCATTAGTTCAAATGACATTGGCCCCCAGAAGTTATGATTCATTCAGCAAACGTACATGTGACTTCTGGGAACTGACCTAGTCTCTATTCTTACATGCGGTATAAAATTCATAAGAGCTGTCCTCGAAGAGCTCAAATCTGGAAGGAGGGTGAACCAAAAAGTTAGATGGGAAGATCATGTATACATATTTATAAATATGTACCCCCCTGGTACTTACAAATGGGTGAATGTGAAAGACTATTTGAGTATAGATGAAGAAACTTAATTTTTCTTTTAGACTTTTTTGAAAGAGTATGAATGTCATGGAAGGATTCCCAGAGAGGATGATATTTGGTCTGGACTTTGACAGGTGACTAGCAGTTGGGTAACTGATTGTTATCCAGAGCAATTTCTAGTAACCTAGTATGGCTAAATCTTTTAGAGGTCTTGTAGTTCATATAGGATTTCACAGCAGAAACCCAAGTCCCACACCTTTATTGTGTGACATAGACATAAACTCTTGTATGTGGTCATAATCCCAGATCATTTACTCCAGTCTCACACCCATTCTGTCTTCTGGAATTCCTACTAGGATTTCTTGGCACCTCTGGTGACAGCATGCTTAGAACATTACTATATTGAAATTTAGGATATTCTGGCAGACACGGTGTCTCATGTTTGTAATTCTTGTACTTAGGAAGACTGAAATGGGAAGATCACTTGAGGCCAGCTTGGGCAACATAGTGAGACCCTGTCTCTATAAAAAAAATTTTAAAAATTAGCTGTGCACAGGGACATGTGCCTGTAGTCCCAGCTATTTGGGAGGCTAAGGTAGGAGGATCACTTGAGTCCAGGAGTTGCAGGCTGCGGTAACTTAGGATTGTACCATTGCATTCCAGCCTGGGCGACAGAGCATAACCTGTCTAAAAAAATAAAGAATGCTCCACTTATTAAGCTTAAACCTGTTTTCCCACAACTTCTACTCATGGGGTCTTAATTTTTTCTGGAGGTTATGTATCACTAGTCTTCTTCATATTAAGTAGCTTTGTTTCTTTTTAACTGTTTTTCTCTATATGGGAACTTGTTGCATTGTGTCAAAGGCCCTCCCACTGAACTTAGAACTGAGCATCATACACCATTTTGGTTGTGGTTTTTATTTGGGGTTTGTGAATACCTTGATTTGCATTCTGTAGATCTGCCAGTGCAGGCTTGGATTTCACCAGCTTTTTATGTGATTCAAGAATTGGAACTTGCAATGGGTTGTATAACCTCCAAACTCAAGCAGCTTTCTAAATTATTACAAGATCTGATAAATGAATTTAAACGTGAAAAGATTTGTTTTTGGATTCTGGTTTGGATATAAATGGTAATTTAGAAAACTTGAAACTAGAAGTGACTGGGATATATCAAAGACAGATCATCTAATGGGAGACTGGTAAGGTGTGCTAGAAAGAATTGGCACCCACTGGGCATGGACAAGCCTGTAATACCAGCACTTTAGGAGACTGAAGGGGAGGATTACTTAGGTCCAGGAGTTTGAGACTAGCCTGGGCAATATAGTGAGACCTTGTCTCCACAAAAAATAAACAAGTTAACCAAGTGCAACTGTGTAAGCATGTACTCCCAACTACCTGGGAGGCTCAGAAGGATTACCTGAACCCGGGAGGCCAAGGCTGCGGTAAGTTGTGATGGTGCCACTGCATTCCAGCTTGGGTGACAGAGTGAGAGCCCAACTTGGGGTGAAAGAAAAGAAAGAAAAGAAGTAGCCTGTGTCTGGTCTCAGTGATATAGTGAGCTTTTGGACCTTGCACAGATCCTTTTGCCGATCAGGTTAGGTTCCTTTCCTTCTCCATAGAATGAGAAAGTTGGATAATGCCAGGGCACATCAAAATCATCTGAAGCTTAAAAAATACACATGCCTTATTCTAAATACTGAGATTGTGATTTATTTTTTCGGAAGGCATTCTATTTCATTAGGCCAAGAGTGCTACCCAGACAATAGCATTTTGAAAAGGTTCCCACTGCTGTGAGAACCACTTGTTAGGAACAAGTCAGAGTTCTCTTTCTCTGGACTTAAGTGCATTTACTCAATTTAAACAATTTGTTCTCAGGTTACTGCCTCTTTTATATCCCTTCCATAGTGTGACTTTGGAAAAATTTCTTGAAGCTCTTTGTATTTATTTATTTTTTGAGTTGGTGTCTCACTCTGTTGCCCAGTCTGGAGTGCAGTAGAATGATCACAGTTCACTGTAGCCTCGACCTCCTGGGCTCAGGTGATCCTTCTGCTTCAGCCTTCCAAGTAGCTGGAATTACAGGCATGCGCCACTATACCTGGCTATTTGTTTTGGTAGAGACAAGGTCTCACTATGTTGCCTGGGCTCTGCAGCTTTTCTGGTAGTGTGGTTATTTTCCTTTCTATGCAATAGGAGTGATGGGTGTGCCTAAAGGATTCTGGGTAAGTAACCTCTCTTGATTTCATCCCCAGACATCTCCAGTTACAGCCCGGACCCTAGAAACTCTGATTCGACTGGCCACAGCCCACGCGAAGGCCCGCATGAGCAAGACTGTGGACCTGCAGGATGCAGAAGAGGCTGTGGAGTTGGTTCAGTACGCTTACTTCAAGAAGGTGAGGATTCAGAGGCTCTTGTGCATAAACCATAGATACACAGGTCTCCCAGCCTTTGGTGGTTGACAGGGATTGTTGACAGAAGACAGTACTTGTCTGCCAGCATTCAGTCTGCTTTGCTCCTTCCTGTGGAACTTGCATGCTTCTCAGTCCTAGCTGCACCTGAGAATGAGAGCTTTAGAACTGAAGCCAGGGCTCCTAGAGAGTCTGGTTTAATTGATGTGCTGCTGTGAATTCAGTTACCTGCTTTGCTTCTGTCTTCCCCTACTTCCTTTGTGTCATAGAAAAGTAGATGTTTCCAGTGGTGTTGCCTTGCTCACCTTCCTCTTTCCTCTGTCCCTCCCCTTGGCAGTCTCTTTAGGTGTCCCACTGGCACCTCAGAAGCTTTTTTGAACATGCTGTCTCTGACTTGAGTCTCTGTCATTTTGAATGCCAAGCCTTTATAAGTCTGGGTGACTGCCTCTCCCCAAACTGGTGATTTTTAGCCTTTAAGGATTTAGTTGTGGGTCCAATAAGCTTTTCCTGGCTTTTTCTCTTTGTTAAGTTGGGGGTTGTCTTAAATTTCACTTAAACACCTGATTTATAAACAAATTGTCATTTAACCATTTGGGGCCATTTTTCAATTAACCATTATGGGCTGGACACTATTTCTATATTTGTTTATTCAGTAAACATTTGAGTACCTACTGTGTGCAAGACATTGAACATACCTCTCAATATTTTCTAAAGATGGGTATAGTCTCTGCCCCCGGTCCTGGGACTTGGGAATGAGAGAGGCTAGGCATGCCATTGGAATCCTGGTAGTTATTTCTGCTGGTAGTGAAGAAGAGATTCTTACTCAGAGTTCTTTACATAGTTCCCCAGTGTCATTGACCTTTCCAACCACCCATACTTGCCTTGATCCTAGGTTTTAGAGAAGGAGAAGAAACGTAAGAAGAGAAATGAAGACGAATCAGAGACAGAAGATGAAGAGGAGAAAAGCCAGGAGGAACACAAGCAGAAGAGGAAGAGGTAGGTGAGCAAAGAAAGTGAGATTCAAAGGGTGGAACTGGGGAGGGAACTCATGCCAGCTATGACGTCGGGATCTTCAGGGCAGGGCATGTAGACCTGCAGGATGTGAGGGTGGGCACAGGAGAGAGGAGTACCCTCTCGTGTGGTGTGATGCTCTTGGGCCCTTTTCTGCTAAGGAACTGCTGATTAGCAGGAACAGTAGCTCACTCACTTAGGTGCTTGAACAGCTCAAAATTGTTGAGCTTATTTTTCCCCTCATGCCTGTAATTGAATTTATAAGGGTGAACAATATGGAAAAAGAGCAGAGCCTGTTTGTGTCCTAGTCAGGGGACTTGGAATCATTTAGGAAAAGTGGCAATCTGTATAGGCCTAAGCTAGTGTTTAGCTTTGATTGTGGATGGTTCCATTTCCTTTTCTCCATGGTCAGAGGCACAGGATGGACTCCCTTGCCTTTCTCATTCTTAACTGCTGTGGATGTTTTAGGAGGAAGACCCGCCAGTCAGATGCCAAGGACGGGGATCCATATGACCCCTATGACTTCAGTGACACAGAGGAGGAGATGCCTCAAGGTGAATGAGCCTCTTCCTTCCCACTGATTCTCTGACTCCTGAGTTTTTTTCTGTTGCTCTGAGTACTTTATTTTCTTGTGGGCTCCCGTTTGGCTCCTTGCTTGGGGTCCTGTGTGCAGGAGGTTTGTCCCAAGAGAACCTCGGGGAAACCTATAGTAAAGCTTTGGAAAAAGCTCTGTTCATTGTTGACTCCCTCCTTGATGAAGGTATAAGCATCCTAGATAATATACATGCTGAGAGTCTCTTGCCTGGCTCAATTCTTTTATTGTTCGATGGGGATTTCACTTTATCCTCATTGTTCTGCTGGGTCCCATAAGAACCCTGGGAAATAGGAGTGCTCAGTGTGCTCACTGAGGGGTGGACAGTAGAGAAGACACCATTTCTGGGGGTTGTGCTTGTGGTTTCACCTTGTTGTCTTCTCCATCTCTGCAACATCACCCCTCTGAAGTGCACACTCCAAAGACAGCAGATTCGCAGGAGACCAAGGAATCCCAGAAGGTGGAGTTAAGTGAATCTAGGTGAGTAGGGACGTTGCTCCTGCCCCTTTGAGAATTCCATACATCACTTAGGCAAGAATTTGTTCCCTTGGAAAGGGTATGAAATAAACTGCTGGTTATCAAGAACTCAAAACTAGAGGCCCAAGTGTTTGTAAAACATTTCATATTCTGATTGTAATTTCAAACTTTTTGAAAAGCTTTGAGAAAACTATGAAGAGCTTCTTTATATCTTTTACCCAGAATTCTCAGTTGTTTAAATTTTACCATTTGCTTTATTAACAGTTCCCTCTCTGTGGGAATTTGAATTATGTCCTTGTGGAGTCAAGAAGAACAGCTTTATAATCATAGCAAGGACAAAATTGATGTTTTTACTGTAACCTTGGATTCTTCTCAGTAGGATAGATACATCTTTCCTCACTAAATTTTGGCCATTTTTTTTTTGAAGTGAAGAATTTTTACAACCAGGTTTTCAGAAAATATTTTTATCTATAAATTTTGTTTACTGGGCACTAAAGAAACTCCATAGCTAAGGTTTACTTTTTTCTTTTATACCTTAAACATGTAATACAATGTATTTACTGAAGAAAATTTTAAAAACATGAAAAATATTTGGGAGAAAGCATTAAAGTAAATGTCCCAGAGATAGCCATTGATTTATATCTTAAAGTGCTTTCCAAATCAGCTCATATAGGTCTCACTTGTTTTAATGACTGTTGGATTTCCATGTATGGATGTGTGAAACATTCATTTAGTGAATTCTCTAATGGTGGACATTTGGGTTGTTCCCTGTTTACAGTAAAGCATTTAAATTTATCACTGTGTACATGCAAGTACAGGTGTAAGATAAATGTCTAGAAATGGGCTCCCTGGGTCAAAGGATGAGTTGTCTTCTATAGCTGATCAGATGACTAGTCTATAGGATATGGGAATGCCAATTTCCCACCCACTAGAAGGCCTCTAGTTTTTTGTTTTTGTTTTTGTTTTTTTAGTGGGGGAGGGGGTCTCACTCTGTTGCCCAGGCTGGAGTGCAGTGGCACAATCATAGCTCACTGCAGCCTGGACCTCCTGGGCTCAGGTGATCTTCTTGCCTTGGCTTCCCAAAGTGCTGGGATTACAGGTGTGAGTCACCATGCCTGACTAACTTTTTAATTTTTTTTTTTTTTTTTTGAGTTGGAGTCTCACTCTGTCACCCAGACTGAAGTGCAGT